CTAGGTACCTGATGTTGAGAGCATTGCAAGTGTGTACCTAAATAATAACACTAGGTACCTGATGTTGAGAGCATTGCAAGTGTGTACCTAAATAATAACACAAGGTTACCTGATGTTGAGAGCATTGCAAGTGTGTACCTAAATAATAACACTAGGTACCTGATGTTGAGAGCATTGCAAGTGTGTACCTAAATAATAACACTAGGTACCTGATGTTGAGAGCATTGCAAGTGTGTACCTAAATAATAACAACTAGGTACCTGATGTATTGAGAGCATTGCAAGTGGTAAATCACTAGGAATATCAGAGAGCAATGTACTAATAAATAAAACACTTATGTACTAATGTTGTATGCAGATCCTTCAATGTGCATCGCTATAATAATAAACACTAGGTAAGTGATCGTTGAGCGCTATGTGCAGTGTGTACCTACATATAGATCTATACTTATCACTAGCTCTAAAATGTCGAAGAAGCCAAGTGGTTACAAATTAAAAAAAAATAAGTACCTGTATTGTTGGAGAGACTATTGAACGGTACCGATAGAAATACTATGATGATATAAGATACAGGTGTGCAATCAGGTCCCTTTACTAAGTCGTATGAGCAATTGAAAGTGTTGGCCCTTTAAAAAAGGAACCCCCTTCAGACAAAATATATATTAGGACCCATCCTTGCCGGCTTTTGCGGTGATAACTAAATGTTAAATAGGTACTTACTGATGTTGGGTATTAAAGTAAGTACCCACATAATTCTTAAATTCATAAACATAGGCAAATATACCGTATTAGTAGGGTATTGTCAATGTGTGACTTAATAATAAACTAGAAACATTTTTGAGATTACAAAAAATACCCTAAATAAAAACTAGAAACCTATATTGAGAGACATTGCAAGTTGAAATTGATAAATGAAGCCTTGTTACAGAGCATTAACTGTTTCTGGAAATGAGCAGAGACCTAATTAATAACAAGGTACTAACTGGTTTTGAAGATAGCAAGTGTACACACCAATAATACATTCGACCTATGGAAATAAACTTTCTTTCCAACATTCTAAAGAAGCAGTGAGTGTTGTACCTCTGGGATAAATAAAAACACAATACATGAGTTCCATCTTTCCTTCAGTGCTCTGCTTTGGACATTAGCGTGTGTACATATAATCTATCCTAATTGCAAAAGTCAAGGACATGATTGAGACATTGTCAAGTGTGTACCTTAAATACAGCCTAAATTTAATTTAAATGGCTGTGTTGAGAAGCATGCAACGGAGACCTTAAAGCAATATCTTGGCCTGGGACGTGGTGGCTGAAGCCCATTGCAAGTGGTTTCCCGTAAATAAAACCTTTAAAATCCATAAACCTGGTTTACCTGTTTGTTGATAGGTGCTAAGTGTGGTATCCTAAATACTAACCTCAACAAAAAATAACACAAGCCGTACCTTGATGTTGATAGTATGAATAAAATTGGAATAACAATAATAATGGAACCTAAAATAAATAACACATATACACGATGTCTGATACATTATAAGGGTTTTACCTTATTATAGAAGAAATAATAACACTAGGTACCTGATGTTGAGAGCATTGCAAGTGTGTACCCAAATAATAACACTAGGTACCTGATGTTGAGAGCATTGCAAGTGTGTACCTAAATAAGAACCTAAATAATAACACTAGGTACCTGATGTTAAGAGCATTGCAAGTGTGTACCTAAATAATAACACTAGGTACCTGATGTTGAGAGTAGTGCAAGTGTGTACCTAAATAATAACACTAGGTACCTGATGTTGAGAGCATTGCAAGTGTGTACCTAAATAAACACTAGGTACCTGATGTTGAGAGTAGTGCAAGTGTGTACCTAAATAATAACACTAGGTACCTGATGTTGAGAGCATTGCAAGTGTGTACCCAAATAATAACACTAGGTACCTGATGTTGAGAGCATTGCAAGTGTGTACCTAAATAATAACACTAGGTACCTGATGTTGAGAGCAGTGCAAGTGTGTACCTAAATAATAACACTAGGTACCTGATGTTGAGAGCATTGCAAGTGTGTACCTAAATAAGAACCTAAATAATAACACTAGGTACCTGATGTTGAGAGCAGTGCAAGTGTGTACCTAAATAATAACACTAGGTACCTGATGTTGAGAGCATTGCAAGTGTGTACCTAAATACTAACCTAAATAATAACACTAGGTACCTGATGTTGAGAGCATTGCAAGTGTGTACCTAAATAAGAACCTAAATAATAACACTAGGTACCTGATGTTGAGAGCATTGCAAGTGTGTACCTAAATAAGAACCTAAATAATAACACTAGGTACCTGATGTTGAGAGCATTGCAAGTGTGTACCTAAATAAGAACCTAAATAATAACACTAGGTACCTGATGTTGAGAGCATTGCAAGTGTGTACCTAAATAAGAACCTAAATAATAACACTAGGTACCTGATGTTGAGAGCATTGCAAGTGTGTACCTAAATAAGAACCTAAATAATAACACTAGGTACCTGATGTTGAGAGCATTGCAAGTGTGTACCTAAATAAGAACCTAAATAATAACACTAGGTACCTGATGTTGAGAGCATTGCAAGTGTGTACCTAAATAAGAACCTAAATAATAACACTAGGTACCTGATGTTGAGAGCATTGCAAGTGTGTACCTAAATAATAACACTGGGTACCTGATGTTGAGAGCATTGCAAGTGTGTACCTAAATAAGAACACTAGGTACCTGATGTTGAGAGCATTGCAAGTGTGTATCTAAATAATAACACTGGGTACCTGATGTTGAGAGCATTGCAAGTGTGTACCTAAATAATAACACTGGGTACCTGATGTTGAGAGCATTGCAAGTGTGTACCTAAATAAGAACACTAGGTACCTGATGTTGAGAGCATTGCAAGTGTGTATCTAAATAATAACACTGGGTACCTGATGTTGAGAGCATTGCAAGTGTGTACCTAAATAATAACACTAGGTACCTGATGTTGAGAGCATTGCAAGTGTGTACCTAAATAAGAACCTAAATAATAACACTAGGTACCTGATGTTGAGAGCATTGCAAGTGTGTACCTAAATAATAACACTGGGTACCTGATGTTGAGAGCATTGCAAGTGTGTACCTAAATAATAACACTAGGTACCTGATGTTGAGAGCATTGCAAGTGTGTACCTAAATAAGAACCTAAATAATAACACTAGGTACCTGATGCTGAGAGCATTGCAAGTGTGTACCTAAATAAGAACCTAAATAATAACACTAGGTACCTGATGTTGAGAGCTTTGCAAGTGTGTACCTAAATAAGAACCTAAATAATAACACTAGGTACCTGATGTTGAGAGCATTGCAAGTGTGTACCTAAATAAGAACCTAAATAATAACACTAGGTACCTGATGTTGAGAGCATTGCAAGTGTGTACCTAAATAATAACACTAGGTACCTGATGTTGAGAGCATTGCAAGTGTGTACCTAAATACTAACCTAAATAATAACACTAGGTACCTGATGTTGAGAGCATTGCAAGTGTGTACCCAAATAATAACACTAGGTACCTGATGTTGAGAGCAGTGCAAGTGTGTACCTAAATAAGAACCTAAATAATAACACTAGGTACCTGATGTTGAGAGCATTGCAAGTGTGTACCTAAATAAGAACCTAAATAATAACACTAGGTACCTGATGTTGAGAGCATTGCAAGTGTGTACCTAAATAATAACACTAGGTACCTGATGTTGAGAGCAGTACAAGTGTGTACCTAAATAATAACACTAGGTACCTGATGTTGAGAGCATTGCAAGTGTGTACCTAAATAAGAACCTAAATAATAACACTAGGTACCTGATGTTGAGAGCATTGCAAGTGTGTACCTAAATAATAACACTGGGTACCTGATGTTGAGAGCATTGCAAGTGTGTACCTAAATAAGAACCTAAATAATAACACTAGGTACCTGATGTTGAGAGCATTGCAAGTGTGTACCTAAATACTAACCTAAATAATAACACTAGGTACCTGATGTTGAGAGCATTGCAAGTGTGTACCTGAATAATAACACTAGGTACCTGATGTTGAGAGCAGTACAAGTGTGTACCTAAATAATAACCTAAATACTAACCTAAATAATAACACTAGGTACCTGATATTGATACGTAGGATGTAGTCCATAATAAAGCCGTAACTCAGCAACAAAACTATCACATATCTAAACCAGCCCTGAAGAGAGAAAACAACAGGTTAAACACAAACAAGGGATGAAAAATTGAGAGGCGGTGTTATTTCATTACTAATAATTTACATATCGCGACAGTTTAGGTTCTGGGGAGGGAAAGGTTGTAGTCTGTAAGTGTTTAAGCAGAAACCTATGTATTCATTAGGCTTGAATAGTTTAATATTTAAATTTTCACCAAAAATGATAATGCTATTAATAGCTGGGCACCATAATTAACCATAGACATATGGTGTTTAATAATAAAATAATAAACAAATATTAGATAAATAATAACATATAACTTACGGCTGATTTAACAGAAGTCTTGCTCTGAACGCTGTTCTCCACTCCGTCTCCTCCGAGTAACGGAACACTCGAGTCTACAATACCTTCATCTGACATATCATCATAATCCACCATCTTCAAGTGATTAAAAGGTTAAGAACAAGTATTTTAATTAGTAAATAAATAATTAGTAACTAGCTATTAAGTAAGTGTGTGTATAACTACTGTTTGAAACTAGAACAAGTGGAGAATAAAAGCTATAACATTTCAACATTAACATGAAACTTAATACATAGAACTAGAAGTGACTGTGTTGACATACACATCATCTTGAGAAATAAGATATGTGAATTAAATATATTATGAGCTGTTTTGCACCTGTTATGTCGAGAGCATGGCACGAGATAAGAAATGAGAGATAGGACATTTGAAATAAATAGTAAATACGAATTTCAAGAAATATGACACTTTGACATAACAAAATCAAACACAACGCTACATAAAATTATTCAAAGCTACGAATTATATTATTATATAATATAGATACCTACCGGCAACACTTCATGTTTAACCTATAACTTAAAAGATGGTCGGCCACACGCAAAATAAACAAAACCAAAACAGCTTTATCCTTTAAGATCCTCAAGTAAGCATATTTCCTCATCATGCGACTTTGTGGATCTTGAATATTGGAGATCAAATTCCACAAAAAAATGTATCTAGTAGATGCTCTGATGAAACTCTACACTGCCATGACTACATTTTACTCCAACATCGCCACATTTCTTCCACACACTCCTATTTTTATCTAGACACTTATTTTACTTCGGTGTATTCCAACAGCCACAATGTTACACAAGTGCAACCAGCCAATTACAGGAAGCCGAAGGATCTTTTTGGCCAGTGACGGTTAAGGTAGTGTGTACCATACTTTCTTCGTCCGAGACTTTGCTGCAATGTGCAGCTCCTCATTTAACCCTCACACCCGATTTCTCGAGTATTCGGCTGAGTAGACCGGGGGGCTGCATAGACCACTCATGATCCTTAGCTGAACGTCGACGACGCTCACCCCACGACCAGGCAGTCAGTGGGTTTCGAACTCGCAACCTAACGATTGTAAGACAGGCGTTCTAACCAACTGCGCTACCTGGCGCTACCTAGGCCTAACCTGGCGCTACCTAGGCCTAACAAACTTTAAACTATACACGCATTTATTTGTTCATTGCTAATATCAATCATAGATACCGAACACCACCGATCACAGGAGCATTTCATCGAGGGCAAGCAAAAGAACTGCGATATTTGACAATCTATTATGATGTTCACCGCAATGATATTCCTGACAGTTTCGTAACATACCAGCGGTGTAATAATAGTAATAATCTCTGTAGTCTGTAATGGTTCAAGAGAGTCGCAGCTCCTGACCATCACTGGAATATGACTTCAAGATTCAGGGACAGTTGCAGAAACCAGCTTCCCGACTTAGATAAAACTGTTCAAGGTTTGCCATTTTGTAATTTCGATATGTCTGGTATCAGTGCGTGGGCAAGAGAGAGACTTCTTCATTCTGACAATAGTGTCAAGCAGGTAATGGACAGGAGAAATGTCAAAATTCAAGAGAAAGCTTGTCAGCATTGATTGCGTGGTGATACTGGTTTCATTTATTTTACTTCAGAATCTAAGTTCAGAACGGTAACCTATAATAATATACACAACTTGAAACAGACTCCACAGATCTGAAAAACTCAATTAATCGGTACAATTATAGCATTAATGCTCAAAATACAACCACATATCTAAATTTAATTAAAGTACCACGGTATTATATCTCTCTAAACAACGACTGTCAAAATGGTGTTATGACGTCACAAAACTCCTTATAAGGTAATAACGTGGTGTTGCGCCGTCAAAATGGTGTACACTAAATGACAGTTTCACTTTACAGTACCCCTCTGACGTCAGCTAACTGAGGTAATCTTGCTGGAACAGTGTGTTTGTGTCTGGAGTGCAGGGTTTCATGATTTGCTGGGGCCCGGCATTTCCGAGACTTTGGGGTTGTTGGGGTGCAGGGATTCAATCACCTGTATTGTAGAGTTTCAGAATTTCAGATATCAGAATTTCAGTTTAACTCGCGAGGTACCTAACAAGTGAGAAAAACGGGAATTTCCACGTCATTTTGAATTAAGATATTGTGACCGTTTAAAATAACAGGCCCTAATTAACGTTGTCCATACAGCCACAATAATAATCTACAAACCTCAGCCAGGAAGCGGTTGAGAGCCTCGTAGTAGCCGTAACATTGCCAAGTCCCATTGTGGGTTCCACTCTCAAAACACTCGATACGCTTCATGGTGCTGCCACATAACTGTGGGGTCAGATCAGCTAATATGTGAGATCAGATCAACTAATTTGTCAATTTGTGGGATCATATCAAATAATATGTGGGATCAGATCAACTAATATGTGGGATCAGATCAACTAATTTGTCAATTTGTGGAATGAGATCAAATAATATGTGGGATTAGATCAGCTAATATGTGGGATCAGATCAGCTAATATGTGGGATCAGATCAACTAATTTGTCAATTTGTGGGATCAGATCAAATAATATGTGGGATTAGATCAGCTAATATGTGGGATCAGATCAGCTAATATGTGGGATCAGATCAACTAATTTGTCAATTTGTGGGATCAGATCAAATAATATGTGGGATTAGATCAGCTAATATGTGGGATCAGAGTAGCTAATATGTGGGATCAGAGTAGCTAATATGTGAGATCAGATCAAAAGGTTTTAAACCTGAAGGAAATTTAATTTGAGAAAGGTTAATTTAACCTGTTTGGAAGTCCCAGAGTCCAACCAATTTCACCATTTTGCTCCAAATTTTCGGCCTTCCCAGTCCCCCATTGAATTTTTCAAAAGTGTTTCTAAACTGCTATAAAAATCTCTCTAAAAAAGCCAGGTTCAAACATTGTCAGCTTAGGTTGAGGTGCCACTTTTTGAACTTATTTTTTACCTATGGTGGCGTTTACAGTGCAATGCGCGCATCGTGTACACTACAGTGCAATGAGCACCAAAGAATTGGTTCAGTACGCGAATCTCCATAAATCTATAAAAAGCTATACAACTAATAAATTAACAACGAAACTCTAAATACCCATATATCGTTCAGAGCACCAAGAGAATATTAACTAATTGTACAACACTACAGATCAACTAATGGGATGGAAGCGTTCTAAATGAAAAGCTCAAATGAAGGAATGCATTCTACTATTGTACTTATAATAAACCAAGTCTGCTCATACATCCAGAGCAGACTTAGAAATCATCATAATAATATAATAGTTAAGTAAAATACCGCTATATATAACATTATAATTAGTATGTCGCCTAAATAATTACAAGCATGTGCTCGCTATTCATGTTTATCCAGATCTCTCCGCATTGTTCTTCAACATTTTCTTAAACTTAGTTTCTTGAATTAAAGTCAAAGCAAGCTCATGAGAGAGGAAAACGCAGATAAAGATCTAACATATTCTAGAGCAAATCAAAGGTTATATAATATAATATATTAATTAAGCGGCATAAATCAAATCAGTAAAATGTAAATTTGAATAGGTAAGTAATTAGGGAAGCGGAAGAAGATATTATATAATCAACTTACAGTGTATAATGTACAATGTACAATGTATAATCAACTTACAGTGCATAATGTACAATGTATAATCAACTTACAGTGTATAATGTACAATGTACAATGTATAATCAACTTACAGACTATAATGTACAATGTACAATGTATAATCAACTTACAGTGTATAGATCGCGGGTCATTTTGGGAGGGACGAGTGTATCAGCCATACCAGATATGAATAGAGTGGGAGAAGATACCCGTTTTATCTCCTCTACACTCAGAAACTGAAAGAAAACATCATCATCAAAAACATCATCATCAAAAAACATTTAAATAATTATAAACAAGAATTTATCTTTGTGTCCATATTTCATTATAAGGGAGTCCTTTGTGTCCACATTTCATTATATTGGAGTCAACGCAAAGGCAACAAATTAACACTGGTCAAAATATTGCAACACATGGTTAGTGGTTACGGATGTTAAGAATTAAGATGCACCTGAAATCTGAGTGAGGAACAACATACCGACCCGGCATTTAATTTAGTAGAGCAGACTCGGTCGTAGAAAGATATTAGAAATTAAAAAGAAGACCGATGTCCCAAATGATCACCCTACCGCATCCTTTATACTTTATAGAGCAATACTAGTTCAAGTTCAACCGTAACTCTGGAATGGGCACTCCTATACCCTAATGGGCACCCTAAGGGTACTAGTTAGGGGACCCTGACTAATTCCCAATTAATATTAATAGTCCGACAAGGCGACAAAGTTACTAAGAAATTATTTCTTCTTGAAAAGATGGACGAGCACAGCTGTGCCCAAATACCTAGTCAGACGTCCGGGGGAGGGGGGTGATCTGAAAATCTGCGATTTTAGCGGACGTCCTAAGTAGATGGCCCCCTAGTCAATGACGTAGTTATCAAGGAGTAAGGTGATAACAAACCGTGCGTGATGGCGCGCGCGGCGTGCGTCGGTACATTACCGAATTGGCCCCAAACCCACACACTAGCCTGGCTCCTTTTCTCTCTTCACTTAAATTGTTATCATTACTTAACCAATACTTAAATAGTGACTTCTGCCTTTCTGCTACTGCCAATGAAACGAAAGTCATTCACACAGAAATTAATCTACATTATATTTATAGTTAATGTTAGCACAAGATAATAAGTAAAAAGTCACCCTGCTAACCAATAGTAAATAGTAACCTTGTTTCTGTAGCAGAATAAAGGAAGGTATTTAGTTAGAGGGAAGATGACATGTGCCATCTCTGGAATGGAAGTGAAGGTATTCTCCAGGATCAGGGCGAATATCTTGTCTTGATACAGTTTACTGGCAGACAGGTGAACCGCCACTCCTCCGCCTAAAGTTTTGTAATATTGTATTATCAATAATATAAATATTATTAATATTTACAATACTACACTATCAATATCACAATTTAATTTACTTAATTAATATTATTACTTATTTATTTTAGTAATATAGCGGAGAGGTGAACCGCTACTCCTCCACCTAAAGTTTTTAATATTTTATATCAATATTATGAATATTATTAATATTTACTATATTATTACAATATCAATATCACAATTTATTTAATTAATATTATTATTTATTTATTTTAATAATATAGCGGAGAGGTGAACCGCTACTCCTCCACCTGTCATTAAATTGAAACTATTTCAGAAGTCCTGTTTAATAATTGATTTCCCACATATGACAAGAGATATTGGCAGAAACTGCAGTAACTTGTGAAGTTTTGACATTTAGAAAGATTAGACGTGGGCGTTTTTAAAGACTATCCCTTATTTAGAACTTTCATTTAATAAATTCCAGCATCAGAAGTCATGTTTACGAATTTATTTAAATTACGGGCAAATATCATTCAATTTAAGTCTTATGTTTCAGTACCTATTACTCAAAGTTAATAAAATTTCAAAGTTAACAGCTCAATAATATAAGGGAGAGATGAACCGCCACTTTAATGACTACTCCACCTGAGTTAAATTGTTACACTTTCCCGCGTTATGTTTCTATTATTATCGGAAATAACGCGCTCTTTAAAGTTATATTTACCAAGGCTCCGTCCATATACAATAATCCTTCGTCTATCGATATCTTCTCTTGAAAGAAGAAACTCTAATCCACCCTCAGCATCCATCTTCATTCCTGGATAAGAGTTTATTGGATCAAAAGAAACCCCATGTAGCCTAATTTGAATGTCCAGTAGAGAGAAATGATACTTTAAGGGGGCCGGGGGGGGTGTTCATCAAAATTCTCTCGAAATCGACTTTATAGTTGTTTCTGATAGAGGGGAGTGATATCTATCAGCTGCTTTTGGTCCCATGGAAAAATATTGTTCCTAGCCGAAATTATTGCCGGTCTAAGGTCAGCGCTTATGTGTAATTGTATTGCGCGAGCGATTTTCAATCGCAAATTCTGAAAATCGAGTCTAAAAATCTATCTTCTCCCACATTTTTTGAGTAATCACCCTGAAACTTTCAGGATATGTTCTAGGGACCATTTAAAAGAGATCACTAGGACAAAATTTTGAGATAGGCCTTTAAAAAATTTTATTCAATTTTGAAAATCTTGGACCTCAAAAAATTGTAAAAAAACGAGGTCCAAGATTTTCAAAATTGAATAAAAAATTTTTAAAGGCCATCTCAAAATTTAGTCTGAGCGATCTCTTTTAAATGGTCCCTAGAACATATCCTGAAAGTTTCAGGGTGATTACTCAAAAAATGTGGGAGAAGATAGAATTTTAGACTCGATTTTCAGAATTTGCGATTGAAAATCGCTCGCGCAATACAATTACACATAAGCGCTGACCTTAAACCGGCGATAATTTCGGCTAGGAACAATATTTTTCCATGGGACCAAAAGCAGCTGATAGATATCACTCCCCTCTATCAGAAACAACTATAAAGTCGATTTCGAGATAATTTTGATGAAGACCACCCCCAGCTGGGTAAAAAGTTGTGCTATCGGCTATAAAGTATAGATTCACCATATTCGGATGCCAGTCCATCACTCTTCCCGAATCCCCTCCACTCTAACAAGAAGATATTGCACCCACAGAAACTATGAAGAGCTTTAGCGTTTATCAGTCGGTGTCCCACGTTCCCCGCGTTGCCGTGCAGGAAGATAACAGTGGGCGCGGTCGCTAGCTGAGGGAGGGGGGCATGTTAGATACTGCACAGTAAACAAAACCTGATTTACCGTAGCATTAAAGTCATTGAAATGGCCCATCAAACATAAATACCGCGTCATTTGATTTTAAACTAAGTTTCACACTCTTTAGCAGAGTAGTAGAGCGGTTCATTAAGGGGGGAGGGGGGTTCACCCTGATTTTTTGTGAACCTTGGTTTCGAGATAGCAAGTCCGGTGACCAACAAACTAGGACCGGTGACCGAACTTTTGAGGGGGTCCCGGACCCTAACAGCCAAACGGTGCCCGCGGGGCAGCCACGCCCATATTTGGTCCAAATTAGGCCCAATTTAGCCAAATACCCTAAACATGCCCAAAATCCAGATTTTAGGTTCTCTACTTGTAGCTAGTGGTCCCCTAAATTCGTAAATGAATTTTCATCAAGATTGGACAAAAAATGACTGAGTTATGAGCCAAAAACCATATGACCATATTTGGGCATACGCACCAAATTTGATCGATTTTGGCCCATAAATTGGTCAAATATCAATATTTTTGAATGAATCTAACTTTATATGGAAGGTAAGCCTATACTACACATTATCTATGATTATCAGCTCAGTAGCTACCTAACTGTGGATTCTGTGTTCAAATAATCGCAAAAAATTAACAAAATTGCCCATATCTCAGTTCGCGAAATTTTTTTAAAGGCCTAACTCAACATTTTAATACAAAACGTAAGGTCGAAATGCGATTCTACGTTGATTATGAAAATTTCATGTAAAAATATTGAAACCCTATTGAGTTCTATTGTTTTGAGTGAAATCAGTTTTGCAAATATCGCGAACTGAGATATGGGCGGTTTTGTTAATTTTTGGCGATTATTTAAACACAGAATCCACAGTTAGTTAGATACTGAGCTGATAATCATAGAGAATGTGTAGTATATGCTTACTTTCCATATAAAGTTGGTTTGATTCAAAATTATTGATATTTGACCAATTTATGGGCCAAAATCGATCAAATTTGGTGTGTATGTCCAAATATGGTCATATGGTTTTTGTCTCATAACTCAGTCATTTTTTGTCCAATCTTGATGAAAATTCCTATACGAATTAAGGGGACCACTAGCTACAAGTACAGCACCTAAAATTTGGATTTTGGGCATGTTCAGGGTATTTGGCTAAATTGGGCCTAATTTGGACCAAATATGGGCGTGGCTGCCCCGCGGGCACCGTTTGGCTGTTAGGGTCCGGGACCCCCTCAAAAGTTCGGTCACCGGTCCTAGTTTGTTGGTCAACTGCTATCTCGAAACCAAGTTTCACAAAAAAATCAGGGTGAACCCCCCCCCCCCCCCCCCCCTTAAGTTCACCAGGAGCGTGTAACTGTAATCAACACGATTAACAAAAATGCCTCGTTTTAAAGGTGCCTGTGAAATACAAAATTGATTGCATTTGATATGCAACTTTACAAAGCAGTAAATATACAAATGTACAGCAAATCGAACAAACATTATTAGTGGCAAAGGATCTTAATAAGAACGTCAGTTCGGTGCTGATTGAAATCAAATCGACATGCACTATAAGCTGCCGGTATGTGTTACAAAAGCAGCCAAATTAATCAGTAGTCACTAGTCAGTACTGTGATGCAAAAGTTTTACCAGATCCTTATAATTTATCCTTATAAGCGCCTCGAGGCACTATTAGTATTATCGGTTGATAACATATAAGCGCCCCCAGGCACTATTAGCGTTATCGGTTGATAACATATAAGCGCCCCCAGGCACTATTAGTATTATCGGTTAACAACATATAAGCGCCCCCAGGCACTATTAGTATTATCGGTTAATAACATATAAGCGCCCCCAGGCACTATTAGTATTATCGGTTAACAACATATAAGCGCCCCCAGGCACTATTAGTATTATCGGTTAACAACATATAAGCGCCCCCAGGCACTATTAGTATTATCGGTTAATAACATATAAGCGCCCCCAGGCACTATTAGTATTATCGGTTAATAACATATAAGCGCCCCCAGGCACTATTAGTATTATCGGTTAATAACAAATTTAAATGGTAACGGCAGATACGGGCAAATTAGTCGTGTGCTGTGTACCCACAGCGAAATTAGACCATACTTATCAGGAATTTAGCACCGTTACGATTTGACAAAGAAGTGCAGGAAATATTTCTAATTTCGATCGGATTGACTTTGACTTTGATACTAAATATTTGTATTGGGTAAAAATAATATGTGCCGCGCTTAACTATACGCCGAAGGAATCGGGAGACAAACTAATGAAGAAATAGCCAAAGCCCAAAATACTGTAAATTCTACAGAATTTTGGTTATTTGATTAAAAGTATTTAATTAAAACTAAAAGAACTGACCCTGTTGGCGGGTTGTTTGATGAAGACAGCATTTATCTTCACTCCGTCTTTAGTTTTAATGTAGATATTCTCATACGGTAATCCTGGTCATATAAATAGAGAAATTATTAATCGTTAAATACTCTATTCATGTCTAGCCGGTACTATTTAAAGTAAGTACATATTACCTCTCAGAACTCCTAAATAAGAGATATCAAATTTAATTGCCATCCAAACTAGAACCTCTTAAATCGGAGTACATTAAAATAAGATTTTTTTTAAAGAAGAAAAAAGGTTTTACTGAATATAATAACATAATATGTTTGTACCTATAGTGTTGGGGGTCTGCACGAACACCCGACTTGATTCCGGCTGATCAGGAAAGTAGAGGAATGTGTCCTGATACTGGTAGAGGGCAGCAAATATTGCGAGAACTAGCAGCACTAATATCGTCCAACTGGGAGTAGGTTCATGTTACAACAAGTTATCATGGGTTACCAATGGCTACAACAAGTTAGTGTGGGTTACTAATGGCTACAACAAGTTACTGTGGGTTGCTAATGGCTACAACAAGTTAGTGTGGGTTACCAATGGCTACAACAAGTTACTGTGGGTTACTAATGGCTACAACAAGTTAGTGTGGGTTACTAATGGCTACAACAAGTTACTGTGGGTTACCAATGGCTACAACAAGTTAGTGTGGGTTACTAATGGCTACCACAAGTTACTGTGGGTTACCAATGGCTACAACAAGTTAGTGTGGGTTACTAATGGCTACCACAAGTTACTGTGGGTTACCAATGGCTACAACAAGTTAATGTGGGTTACTAATGGCTACAACAAGTTACTGTGGGTTACTAATGGCTACAACAAGTTAGTGTGGGTTACTAATGGCTACAACAAGTTACTGTGGGTTACCAATGGCTACAACAAGTTAGTGTGGGTTACTAATGGCTACCACAAGTTACTGTGGGTTACCAATGGCTACAACAAGTTAGTGTGGGTTACCAATGGCTACAACAAGTTACTGTGGGTTACTAATGGCTACAACAAGTTACTGTGGGTTACCAATGGTTACTACAAGTTACTGTGGGTTACCAATGGTTACTACAAGTTACCCGTACTATTTGTTAGGTACCATTGGTTACCAAAACAATTGGTTTACAATTGGCGAAATACTTTAGACCGGAAAAAGGTACTTTAACCCGGCGAAAGAAGACTTTAGCCCGGCGAAAGAAGACCTTAGCCCGGCGAAAGAAGACTTTAGCCTGGCAAAAGAGGACTTTAGCCCGGCGAAAGAAGAGTGAAGACTTTAACCCGGCGAAAGAAGAATTTAGCCCGGCGAAAGAAGACTTTAGCCCGGCGAAAGAAGACCTTAGCCCGGCGAAAGAAGACTTTAGCCTGGCAAAAGAGGACTTTAGCCCGGCGAAAGAAGAGTGAAGACTTTAACCCGGCGAAAGAAACTTTAGTCCGGCGAAAGAAACTATAGCCCGGCGAAAGTTACCTTAGCCCGGCAAAAGTTACCTTAGCCCGGCGAAAGAAGACTTTAGCCCGGCGAATAAAACTTTAGCCCGACGAATAAAGCTTTAGCCAGGCGAAAGAAACTTTAGTCCGGCAAATAAAACTTTAGCCCGGCGAATAAAGCTTTAGCCCGGCAAATAAAACTTTAGCCCGGCGAATAAAGCTTTAGCCCGACGAAAGAAACTTTAGTCCGGCGAAAGTTACCTTAGCCCGGCGAAAGAAGACTTAATCCCGGCGAAAGAAACTTTATTCCGGCAAAAGAAGCTTTAGCCCGGCGAAAGAAGACTTTAGCCCGGCAAATAAAGCTTTAGCCCGGCGAATAAAGCTTTAGCCAGGCGAAAGAAGACTTTAGCCAGGCGAAAGAAGACTTTAGCCCGGCGAAAGAAGACTTTAGCCAGGCAAATAAAGTTTCAGCCCGGCGAATAAAGCTTTGGTCCGGCGAAAGAAGACTTTAGCCCGGCAAATAAAGCTTTAGCCCGGCGAATAAAGCTTTGGTCTGGCGAAAGAAGACTTTAGCCCGGCAAATAAAGCTTTAGCCCGGCGAATAAAGCTTTAGCCAGGCGAAAGAAGACTTAATCCCGGCGAAAGAAACTTTATTCCGGCAAAAGAAGCTTTAGCCCGGCGAAAGAAGACTTTAGCCCGGCAAATAAAGCTTTAGCCCGGCGAATAAAGCTTTAGCCAGGCGAAAGAAGACTTTAGCCCGGCGAAAGAAGACTTTAGCCAGGCAAATAAAGCTTCAGCCCGGCGAATAAAGCTTTATTCCGGCAAAAGAAGCTTTAGCCCGGCGAAAGAAGACTTTAGCCAGGCAAATAAAGCTTCAGCCCGGCGAATAAAGCTTTAGCCAGGCGAAAGAAGACTTTAGCCCGGCGAAAGAATACTTTAGAGTTTAGCCAGGCAAATAAAGCTTCAGCCCGGCGAATAAAGCTTTGGTCCGGCGAATAAAGCTTTAGCCAGGCGAAAGAAGACTTTAGCCCGGCAAATAAAGCTTCAGCCCGGCGAATAAAGCTTTAGCCAGGCAAAAGAAGACTTTAGCCCGGCGAAAGAAGACTTTAGCCAGGCAAATAAAGCTTCAGCCCGGCGAATAAAGCTTTGGTCCGGTGAAAGAAGACTTTAGCCCGGCAAATAAAGCTTTAGCCCGGCGAATAAAGCTTTGGTCCGGCGAAAGAAGACTTTAGCCCGGCAAATAAAGCTTTAGCCCGGCGAATAAAGCTTTAGCCAGGCGAAAGAAGACTTAATCCCGGCGAAAGAAACTTTATTCCGGCAAAAGAAGCTTTAGCCCGGCGAAAGAAGACTTTAGCCCGGCAAATAAAGCTTTAGCCCGGCGAATAAAGCTTTAGCCAGGCGAAAGAAGACTTTAGCCCGGCGAAAGAAGACTTTAGCCAGGCAAATAAAGCTTCAGCCCGGCGAATAAAGCTTTATTCCGGCAAAAGAAGCTTTAGCCCGGCGAAAGAAGACTTTAGCCAGGCAAATAAAGCTTCAGCCCGGCGAATAAAGCTTTAGCCAGGCGAATAAAGCTTTAGCCAGGCGAAAGAAGACTTTAGCCCGGCGAAAGAAGACTTTAGCCAGGCAAATAAAGCTTCAGCCCGGCGAATAAAGCTTTAGCCAGGCGAAAGAAGACTTAATCCCGGCGAAAGAAACTTTATTCCGGCAAAAGAAGCTTTAGCCCGGCGAAAGAAGACTTTAGCCCGGCAAATAAAGCTTTAGCCCGGCAAATAAAACTTTAGCCCGGCGAATAAAGCTTTAGCCCGACGAAAGAAACTTTAGTCCGGCGAAAGTTACCTTAGCCCGGCGAAAGAAGACTTAATCCCGGCGAAAGAAACTTTATTCCGGCAAAAGAAGCTTTAGCCCGGCGAAAGAAGACTTTAGCCCGGCAAATAAAGCTTTAGCCCGGCGAATAAAGCTTTAGCCAGGCGAAAGAAGACTTTAGCCCGGCGAAAGAAGACTTTAGCCAGGCAAATAAAGCTTCAGCCCGGCGAATAAAGCTTTGGTCCGGCGAAAGAAGACTTTAGCCCGGCAAATAAAGCTTTAGCCCGGCGAATAAAGCTTTGGTCCGGCGAAAGAAGACTTTAGCCCGGCAAATAAAGCTTTAGCCCGGCGAATAAAGCTTTAGCCAGGCGAAAGAAGACTTAATCCCGGCGAAAGAAACTTTATTCCGGCAAAAGAAGCTTTAGCCCGGCGAAAGAAGACTTTAGCCCGGCAAATAAAGCTTTAGCCCGGCGAATAAAGCTTTAGCCAGGCGAAAGAAGACTTTAGCCCGGCGAAAGAAGACTTTAGCCAGGCAAATAAAGCTTCAGCCCGGCGAATAAAGCTTTATTCCGGCAAAAGAAGCTTTAGCCCGGCGAAAGAAGACTTTAGCCAGGCAAATAAAGCTTCAGCCCGGCGAATAAAGCTTTAGCCAGGCGAAAGAAGACTTTAGCCCGGCGAAAGAATACTTTAGAGTTTAGCCAGGCAAATAAAGCTTCAGCCCGGCGAATAAAGCTTTGGTCCGGCGAATAAAGCTTTAGCCAGGCGAAAGAAGACTTTAGCCCGGCAAATAAAGCTTCAGCCCGGCGAATAAAGCTTTAGCCAGGCGAAAGAAGACTTTAGCCCGGCGAAAGAAGACTTTAGCCAGGCAAATAAAGCTTCAGCCCGGCGAATAAAGCTTTGGTCCGGCGAAAGAAGACTTTAGCCCGGCAAATAAAGCTTTAGCCCGGCGAATAAAGCTTTGGTCCGGCGAAAGAAGACTTTAGCCCGGCAAATAAAGCTTTAGCCCGGCGAATAAAGCTTTAGCCAGGCGAAAGAAGACTTAATCCCGGCGAAAGAAACTTTATTCCGGCAAAAGAAGCTTTAGCCCGGCGAAAGAAGACTTTAGCCCGGCAAATAAAGCTTTAGCCCGGCGAATAAAGCTTTAGCCAGGCGAAAGAAGACTTTAGCCCGGCGAAAGAAGACTTTAGCCAGGCAAATAAAGCTTCAGCCCGGCGAATAAAGCTTTATTCCGGCAAAAGAAGCTTTAGCCCGGCGAAAGAAGACTTTAGCCAGGCAAATAAAGCTTCAGCCCGGCGAATAAAGCTTTAGCCAGGCGAAAGAAGACTTTAGCCCGGCGAAAGAATACTTTAGAGTTTAGCCAGGCAAATAAAGCTTCAGCCCGGCGAATAAAGCTTTGGTCCGGCGAAAGAAGACTTTAGCCAGGCAAATAAAGCTTTAGCCCGGCGAATAAAGCTTTAGCCAGGCGAAAGAAGACTTTAGCCCGGCGAAAGAAGACTTTAGCCAGGCAAATAAAGCTTCAGCCCGGCGAATAAAGCTTTGGTCCGGCAAAAGAAGCTTTAGCCCGGCGAAAGAAGACTTTAGCCCGGCAAATAAAGCTTTAGCCCGGCAAATAAAACTTTAGCCCGGCGAAAGAAGACTTTAGCCCGGCGAAAGAAGACTTTAGCCAGGCAAATAAAGCTTCAGCCCGGCGAATAAAGCTTTGGTCCGGCAAAAGAAGCTTTAGCCAGGCGAAAGAAGACTTTAGCCCGGCAAATAAAGCTTTGGTCCGGCAAAAGAAGCTTTAGCCCGGCGAAAGAAGACTTTAGCCAGGCAAATAAAGCTTCAGCCCGGCGAATAAAGCTTTGGTCCGGCAAAAGAAGCTTTAGCCCGGCGAAAGAAGACTTTAGCCCGGCAAATAAAGCTTTAGCCCGGCGAATAAAGCTTTGGTCCGGCGAAAGAAGACTTAAGCCAGGCAAATAAAGCTTCAGCCCGGCGAATAAAGCTTTGGTCCGGCAAAAGAAGCTTTAGCCCGGCGAAAGAAGACTTTAGCCCGGCAAATAAAGCTTTAGCCCGGCGAATAAAGCTTTAGCCAGGCGAAAGAAGACTTTAGCCCGGCGAAAGTTACCTTAGCCCGGCGAAATAAGCTTTAGCCCAGCGAATGCCAAAAGTAACAATGTTTAATTATTGGTTACCAATGGTACCATTGGCATTATATAACATTTCTAGGTGACAAATGGCATATCTTCAATCAGTCGATAGCTAGAGGTACAATGGTGGACTGAATCCAAGTTAGCTCCCTAACAGCTAGTATTAGTAAGCGTTACCTGGAGTAAAACCAGTACAAAAGTCAGTTACCTGGAGTAAAGCCAGTACATGAGGAGCAGAATAAGGATGGAGGCACTGGATGTACGGCAGCAGGTATGTACCACCAAATTCCACCATGCTTGTGCTGATCTCATACGGGGCATAGGCACATCCGTGAACTCCGTGCTCGTGCTGCAATTAGTTAATTAGTTAATTAATCAATCAATTAATTAATTTTTCAATTGTTTTCTGATTGTTTATTAATATTTTAGATAAAGATTCGGCTGAAATCAACGGCTCAATAGTTTGTTATCAGTAAACAGTAAACATGTTTTGAAGCTGAATCACAGTACAATGAAAGAGCAACGCAGTACGAAACTAACCACCCGTAATAATAAGGTCCCTTACAGTAAACCACCCTAATAATAAGGTTCCTGAAACCCCCCCCCCCCCCCCTTCGCACCCAGTGATTACGTATTATGCGAACGACCACTAACATGCTTATTGCTAAGTGCTTACCTCATGGACGTTTTAATTGACCAACTTTCATCGACTAATCAGGAGATATCGTCTACTTCCCTTCTACATCATACATTCGCCTGTAGTAAATATTATCGTGAGACACTGAACTTAGTTTCTGTGAAACTGACTTTTCAATCAGAATACTGATACTTGGTATTGTCTTTACAAATGTTCCAGGAATTACTAAACTCTGAATTTATGAACGCTATACTTAAGTTCAGAAAACCGGGAACTTCCATCGTTCGTTCGGTTAAGTTGAATACAGCGTATCACTGCAAGGTTTATAATCCATATTTGGATTTAACTTTATCAGTAAATCAGTTAAGTTTATTAGTAAATCAGTTAAGCATCCTAGCTATACAAAATATCTCATATCATACAAAATTAAAAACAACAATAATTATAATCAAAACTATACAATCCGACGAAAGCTCCCTTGATTACATAGTTTTGACTCTTGAATAGTGTCACGTGAATGATAAGATGCCCGGTATGCAACAAAAGGAAATCATAAAATTCCATTCAACATTATACTAACAGCTAAAAATAAACAATGAGATTAACAGAATGTTATTACCAAAACTGTGCCAAACCATGAGACGAAATCTTAAAATTGAGTACTCGAAAATCCTGCACAGTGGGACAACAAAACACTTAAACTACAGGCTGAATCATTGCATTTGTCGTCTACGAAGTTTGCTCAACTGGTTCTTTAATCGCCCTAAAAACGAAATCAGGACAAGATCACGCGGAAACCAGAAAAAGTTCAAATAAAAAGACCGTCCAGCGGCTGCAAATTGCAAATTCTAAATTAACACTCTCTGATTACGAAATAATGGTTGAATATTTCATTTTCACTATCCAATACATATTCAACTGCGAGCATCACTTCATTTAAACTTGATTTCCCGTAATTTTTCCCTACACAAAGTTCGACAATTTAATCACACATTTTAAAATTCAACCTACAGGCTACAACCTGATAACTCGCACCTAAATTCACACGGATCAAAATGAAGATCAGGTCGCTCAATCAGCACTAAAACGACCATACCTTCCCTACTAAGAATATGGCTAGTTAACAGTTTGCAAGATCACTCAGTGCACCGATTTTGGATTGGCGGTTCTTTAGAAATGTTCAATACGTTCAGCCGATCAAAATGCACATAAAAATCAATCCAATCATAACCGGACCACTTTTAATCGATTTTACGGTCAAAAATACGTTTAGTGACTAGTGAGGGCTATATGTTCAAAGTTCCTAGCGTTTCAAGTGGTAATACCGTGAAGCAGCTTCACGGTATTACCACTTGAAACGCTAGGAACTTTGAACATATAGCCCTCGCTGAAGCCCTCTATTTTCATTACCAGAGCATTATTGGCTGACTGTAATGGAAATTTCAGAAAAACCGCCAATTCTAAATCGTTCCACTAAATAACCCCTATTATATAAGAGCTAACTGTTAGAATTAACGGTAACAATGTAAAGGAAGTTATCTGCATGAGAGAGATGTTCGGATAACCACTGAATAGGCGTGTTTAGAGGCGTCTCTATACCGTGTATCTTCACCTTCCACCCGTTAGATACCTGAGAGATTGCTGTAAGTGGGGGGAGTTAAAACGTCTGGGGCGTTAGCAGCATAATGTTCCTAGACGGGAACCACCCATATAGTATCAACAAAATTAAAAGTAAAGTTAGATTTAAGGACGTTCAATTACTGTGAAATATGCTAAGAAAGTAGTAACATGGTATATGAGAACATTAAAAGTTTGATCACTATATTTTAATCTGTCAAGAGAGTCTCGTCTATCAAGTTGTCGGGTTGAGTTTATCCACTACATAATATATAAACAGTTAAGTTATAACATATCTTATTAAATTACAACTGCTATCTTAGATGAACATGTTACTGCGAGCACCAAACTGTTGTCACCACACCTAATTCTGACATAATCCTAAACTTGTGCTTGCAGAGTTGTAGCCCACCAATTCATCAGGAACCATAATTGTAACAGGGCTCCTAAATGAACGCGACAAAGCTCATTAATTATTTCGATGGACACACCCCTAAGTTTAAGCGGATTTAGTTGTAGAAACACCCCTAATCACAAGCGGATTTAGTAGTAGATTTATTTAAGCTCACCTCGTACGATTTGATAACATCAGGATCGTCAGAGTCATCTGACTCAACCACACTCTCCGGCAGAAACTGTTTTAACAGCTGTCCCAACGTGGTCAGCTTCTCATCCTTTGTCATCGGCTTGAAAAATTTCTGAAACAAATAATGATATACAAATCTGGGAGAAAAAGGAGCGAAAATTAGATAACTCATAAAATCGGTTAAAAACTGAAATTTCCCAGCAATGCTTCAATAATGAACAGTATATTACTAGTGTCATCAGAATACAAAAGTTCTCTTACTTGAATGTAACGGTCGTGAATACCACTATAAATTCTGAAGGGAATACACCGGTAGGGGGCGTTGTCTATATGTTCCATCAACCGGTGGTTTATCTTCCAGAACTGAAATTATCCAATCAGAAACCGTTTTACATTGAAACGTCCATTTTTTAAATCACAATTAAATCGGAAAATGAATCTCAGTATAACTATACATTAGGTGTCGTTCACATATTACGTAATCACTTTTTGGCCAATTTTTACCCGCCCCTGCCCCGTCGGTAACCAGTTTTACACATAGCTATTGTGTCAAAATTACCCCCTCCCCCCTTGGCTGATTACGTAATATGTGAACGACCCCTTAGTAGCCAGCACCACTACAACACCAAAATGGGCTACAAAAGTAGTTGCGAAATACATAATAATATGTGGTTACACAGTCAAGTTGCATCATATCGCTGATTTAACCTGGTGACTGGTTGCAATATGAAAATGAGGGTGATGTTACCCGACGATACACCACAAGCTATTGTTGCTATCTTTTATACGAAATCAAGTAATATTAACAGAATAATAGTATTACGTATATAATATATTACATTATATAAAGGTGGTTGAGAGCTCTACATATAGTGGAGTCATTTCTTGGAAAACATTGCATAATTCAATCGAAGTCATGCAGATTGCAGATTGCAGCTAACCAGCAGATTGTAGCTAACCCGTTATTACAGGACCAGGTTAATACTACAGCTCGAGTGATTAGTGAATTTGAGAAAAAAGTTCGAGTGTAGAGTGATTTAGCACGCGCTCGATTAGAATTGATTTATCTGTTTATACACGCTGATTTCTTGTGATAGGGCTTTGAGGGTATGAATCCAAACTTGATAGTGGTTGGCTGTTGTTTACGTTTAACATTTTCATTTTTACCCTTTACTTTAGAATAATACCAATTCGTCAATTTTTTATCCAAATTTCACTCTGATAGTGATACAATTTAGGAACCGACCGGATATCTGCTATTGGATAATTATGCTTTTTAAATTTGTCTAAAATTAGAATAGCTGTATATTCATCCAATGACTCCGCAATTCATTTTTTAGAAAAAAGCAAAATGAAATAAAATCATGAGGAACACATACAGTAAACACACGCTAAATATAACAATTATGTAACTGGTACGCCATAAGGATTGGAATCTATCAAGCAGCAATTGCGATTAAGTGATTAGAGACAAATTTCATATATAAATATATCGTGGTGGTCAAACGATGAAGGAAAAATACTAACTCAGACAGCTAATTTTAAAGATATAGCAAATTTATGTTTTTTAGTTTACCACGGCGATAGTGTCTTTTTCGTAAAATAATTCACAGAATAGAAATGAATTCGAATATCAATCGAACGAATATCATTATTGTCAGTCATTTTGACAATAATTTTTTTTCTTCTTTGAAACATTTAAAAAAATCAATCATCTTAGCTTAATCAAATTTGTCACAGGCTTTTTTATTGCTCATCAATTATCTTAATTAATCAATTATCTTAATTAATGATGAAAAATATGTGTGGGGGCGGCCCGTGACGGGGGACAAAATCGATAATTTTAACCAAGCATCTTTATCATCGCAAATTTAATTATTCTCCTAAATTAAAGTTATAAAACAAAAATAATCATTTAATGTGGAAGGAGGGTGAAAATCAAATTGTCTAATCGTTCTTTATGTCATAGATGATCAACCATGTAGTATTTACATATAAGGTAGTTCTGGTCAGATCTCTGTATATCCTCGTCTTCTTTGAGATAGATAGCGAACTTTTCCATAGATGGTGAGTGGCAGAAGGAGGACTTTTGCGGCGAAGTTTCTGTACCGTGCTCTCAGTTCCGGTTTACGCAGGATCAGGATGGTTGGGAACAGTGCTGCGTTTATCAAAGGAATGGTGAATTTTACCAATATAATGATGGGTAATGCGAACTTAAAATCAAAATAGTGCTCCCTTGTGATCAGCAAGGAGACGCTACTCAAGTACAGTAATGAGACTAGAAACACTGTTAAGTTAACTTGGTTTGCAGTGTTCAGCAGTGGGTTTTCGTGACCTCGCAAGGCTTTCTTTATATAGATCATCTAAGGAACCATGCAAACAAGCACGATCAAGCAAGGCATACCAAACTGTACTAAAGACAAAACTATGCTCGTGATATTCATTATAAGTACTGCTGCGTCCTTATGCGATGGATAGTATCTCTCCATTATTATAAGATGTGTTGTGCTTTGTCCTATTGTGTCAATGTTACTCATTGCGGTCCATGGCCCAGTGCGAACACCGCATTTTGGGCTATCATTATAATGATATTTAGTTATGAACCATACGTCAGAAATGTACAGGACTAGGAGAATGGACGGGTAAATGAAAAGGAATATCTCCAAAGCTCTGATATTCTGACTGTAAAATGGACGCATTATGTTGATGGTCTTCACAACCGTTAATGCAAGGACACAAAATGTCGAAGTAACGTAGCTGAGTGTACCAAACAGGAGCCAGACCAGGAAAGTCCAAGGATGCATCCTCATAGACGGGTCCTTCAAGCACAGCAGTGATATTGAGCCTCGTCCTATCTCTGAACACGCAATTCCAATGTCCACAGCAGCAACAATAATGAAGAGTAGGGACGAAATCCTTCTCCAGTCCTTGTGGTAATCATATATGATCATTGAGTTCTGGATCATTATATAAACAGCTAGCGTGATATTGAGTGGGGATATATACTGGAAGCCCCAGTCATGTCCGTCAGTGATATCCGTGGTACTGGGAGGCGAGCTGGTGGGAGTCGTATTATTCGTCCAGATCATTGTTCTGCACGATAACTTTACGAGGTTTTGGAGAGAACGAACCAACTATGTGATCCCGAAATGAACTGCGAAAAATTACAAGGGAACTCGACCAATATTTGTATCCTAGAACCTTGATGTTTTGTATCAAATTTCTTTTAAGGAAGATATTGCACCATGTCCGTTATAATCTGACTTATAGTAGCTACAGTGACTTCTTGATAGTCGTGACTTAAAAGCGGACTACGTAACCACTAACTAATAACTGTCAGTACTAACGCAAGGGTCACAACGTGTTTTAATAGCCTTGCATCAAGCCAAAAAAGGTATTTAAAAAACTCACATCGTCGAACTTGTCCCTATGAAGACCCCTCCAGAGTTGAGTGTGCTGGTCCGGAAGGAGGTGCATCATAACCGCTCCCCGGTGCTTCATGTACCCTGCTTCTTTAACGTTGTGGATAAAACTGCTCCTTACCTGGAAACAGCTGAGTTTAAGTGAGATAGTGGAGGTAGATGGTCGCAAATAACCTTAAGTTATTTGAGCAAATATGTATAAAAAGAGATTTTCGAAGAGGAGCTTTTCTGCTGTCCCCTTAACCGAAATTTCGAGATTTTGACTGAAATCCCCATCAAGGCCAAGGTACTGGAAGCAGTAAAATTGTTACGTAATTCTGACACGAACTGCGTGAGTTATTAAAGGGTTACTTCTGAGTAGTTACTTCTGGGACACCCTGTACATCGAATCTAGCTACAAATCACACTAACTATTTCCTCGAGGTTAGTTCCCAGTCTTGAGAGCTTATCATCGGGGAACTCTGATATCCTGAGTTTAATCTCCCAAGGCAGAGTGTCACCCCCCACCAGGTCGTACAGCACTCCTATTGGGACCTGCCACTTCAGGGGCACGTCATTGTAGGAGAACCACAGCTCTGTCGGCTGTGGATACGTAATGTTAGTATTTTTAGAAGACAAGGAGAGTAGGCCTGGCCATCTCGAAGTGATAATAATAATTAAATGTTTCGCAGATTGGCAATTGATCGGTGTAGTTGGTGTTGTACACACTGCACTGATAACGATATCACGTTGTACGTGTAATGTAAATATAGTGTGGATAAATGCGAATATATATTCTAAATAACTGATAAATGATATTCCACACAAAGCATGAAATTGTGCTGTATATGAGTGGTGATTTCGCTCTGAGAATCAGGGTCAGTAGCTCAATTGGTAGAGCAAGAGACGCGAAATCTCGAGGTTCTGGGATCATTCCCCAGTTGTCCCTAGTTTTTCAGAGTTAATCATCACATATAGACAGCATGAGAGTAGGCCTGGCCATCTCGAAGTGATAATAATAATTAAATGTTTCGCAGATTGGCAATTGATCGGTGTAGTTGGTGTTGTACACACTGCACTGATAACGATATCACGTTGTACGTGTAATGTAAATATAGTGTGGATAAATGCGAATATATATTCTAAATAACTGATAAATGATATTCCACACAAAGCATGAAATTGTGCTGTATATGAGTGGTGATTTCGCTCTGAGAATCAGGGTCAGTAGCTCAATTGGTAGAGCAAGAGACGCGAAATCTCGAGGTTCTGGGATCATTCCCCAGTTGTCCCTAGTTTTTCAGAGTTAATCATCACATATAGACAGCATGAGAGTAGGCCTGGCCATCTCGAAGTGATAACAAGGAAAAATGTAGTATCCGGATAGAAACATTGTTTATGAGTAGCATCTGATAAGAGCGTTTCCTTTGTCGCAATACATGGAATCATCAGAAAGTTTCATCAGAAAGAAAAGGACAAGTGCTGGGTAATCATCCCTCGGCAGCTTTTAAAAGATTCACAGCTCTCAAATTACGATCTGCAATTATTGTCACCTGATTATCTGAGGAGTCAGTGACGGGTATGGCACTCTCAAAGTGTTTCTTGACAGGGAGGAGGGGGAGGTAGGTCATTCTGGGGACCAAGATATAGTAAGGATCCTTCTCTGTTAACAGCAGCTCTACGGGATACTAACGTCAGCAAGACTACAGCACATGTATGTTGTAGCGTGGAGATTGGCGAAGTATCATTAAATTTCAAATTATAATGATTGAAGTTTGATAATGAGACAATATAAAGGTATCAGCAATTTGTTAAATTGTCGAAAGTTATGCCATAAAACATGTCTGGTTCTAAAAGTGGATTCGCATATAATTTATAATATAATGCACGAACAAAACGATTATTTGAATACGTGTGCCCATATATGTCGAATTTTAACTTTATATAGTCGCAGCATATAATGGTTAACTTGTCAAGCTGAGATAACACCGTGGAACTCAAAACTTTGATTATTTTACCTCTGTCCTCCTCGCCGATAGAAAACTTGATCGGAAGCCTTCCATCCCATACTTCTCGCAATACCTCTCTATCATTTGCCATCTGCTGTCAAGGTGCGAAAAGTGGTTAAACTTACTCTTATCACAAAGTCATGTGAAAATTATCGCAAATTACCAATCTACACCAACGCTATAACGTAGAGTAACTCACAAAGTAAAAAACCGGTTCGATAAAAGAACTGGAGCTAACAAGATTAAAACGCAATGAATATTATAAAATAATAAATTAATTTCATAAAGTAATCAAATAACTTCTGTTGGCTGTTTTAGGTCACCGTTTAAAACAGTTCAATCCGCTCGACTTTCTTTACATTATCACTATCCTCTCACACCTTCTATCTGAACCATATCACAAAGCAAAATTAATGCAGCGTTGAAAATACAACAGTCTCACACCCGACCCTCTCGGATTCGCCTCATTCTAGCGTCTATACGCTCCTGCAAGATATCATCGTGATCATCGTCGTTAAAAACAGGTAATGTTCCGTCGTCTTTACGGATCTGTTTCAGAATTTTGGACGCTTTCTCCAGATTCCTGAAAACATTTTATTAGCACGCACAGTAAACGAAATTACGATTGGTATGCATTGCAGTATCAGGGCGGAGAGCCATGAGAGCTAGAGACATCACAAGTCTCGAGGGAAGTCTCTAAAAAGTGTAGTTCATCAGATGAGAGCTGGACTGGAACACTATCACATGATCAAAAAAGAGAAATCACAAAAACAATCAGTGAGATTGCTAGGAAAAAGTACCTGAAGTAAAGGTGCTCCCGTCCAATCATGTAGCCCCTCAGATCGGGGTCCAGGTACTTGTGGACCAGTTCTACAGGAGGTAGCACCACCTCCCCTGATGGGTCTCTCCCTTCCTTCATCTCCGCTAGCTGCCCTGCACTGTACCATCTGAAACGTTTTGAGTTTACTTTAAAATTTACAAAGTATTCAATCTATTTATTATTATTATTTATTTTATGAGGTATTTAATTACTTAAAACTATGATCGAGCCCCAGGCGTAATTAAATACTTCTCAAATCTATTTATCCCACGACCAGCTAGAGTAGGGGTTACTTCGTTAAACAAATTCATGAGAATTTAGCCTAAGCTAAACAACCCCCTGCCGCAATCTGGTTTTGTAGTTTTGGAATGGTCAAATCCGTGCTTACTTCAAAACTGGAAATTTCGTTAACAATTTGGTTCAAAAGAGATTGTTTTTGTTTCACAAATTAACATGGTAATGATCGAGGGGTAGCGGGTTCGAGACCCACTGGATAATAAATTTAAAGCTTTCAATTTGAGTGCTTCCTAATTTAAAATTACTAGTCATTAAAAAAGTATGTTATTATGATTATGAATTATGATGATATAATATAGAAGCTAAACTCACTCTACAGTCGGCCAGCTAGAGTAGGGGCTACTTCGTTACCCCCAATATTTGGAATTCGTTCTCATAACAACAAAAAACCCCTACCGCCATTTGACCCATATTATTTTACATATTTTGCATATATTTAAAATCTCAAAATCTTTTTAATCTGAAAAGTTGCCAAAAACATATGAATAGTGGATGGAATAACGAATCAACGTCTAAGTGATCGAAGGGTAGCGGGTTCAAGGCCCACTCGTGTTGCGATGAATGTTTTCGGAACCTACCTTGTTAAAACGGTACCTCCGTTCCTCTCAATAGCATCAATTGTTCTCTCGCATGCCATTGATACCTCAATGTTCACCTTAGCTTCAAACATACTAATACCCTGTAAAATTATGGGTTAGCAGTTATAAGTTAAAACACCAAATTGAGAAAATTAAGGGTGATTATTTAAAATCATGATGACCAGATGAAGCCATGTCAGCTTACTGATACATAAAATGACAACAGCCACATTCCAAAGTTTTTTCGCTTCCCACATTAGTTGACAGTAGACTGTGTTGCATGTGGGTTTCAATCCATAATAAAGGCTGCGCGCGCGGTCGGTAATGTATGACGAAGTGCGCGCGAATACGCCTTTAATTTTGACGTTATAAAGTCATCGCGCGTAACAAACACTGTTCAATTAAGTTACCCAATTTTTGAGAAAATCAACCTCATTCCAATTATTATTGTTCCGCGGAATAAATAGGAACGGACAGCTGGATTCTACCCTAAATGCCCGCTAACAACAACTTAACAGAACCGATTGCGAGCCCTACATAAATGTCCATGTTTTCTTTTTAGTATTATTGGGTTAATGGTAAATTTGTGAAAAATTTAACATTAACATAGGAGTTCAAGCGTAGCCATAAAATGCTTTAGGAAAATATGAATAGAATGTTGCTGGAATCCAGGTGGAAACAAAAAACAATTCCAAACTTGCCTGAATATCCAGAGTAATTCCTGAGTAGTCATCTGACATTTTGATAATCTCTTGCGACACCAAGTCAAACATGGTGATCTTATCCGGATTAAGAATTCCTCTGTCAATCTTGTATTGTAGTTTACCAAGGCTAAGCTTGGAAAAGTGTATCCCCGAACTGAAAAGGAGTCCTATTTAATCGTGATGCAAATTAACAGTTAAGGGATCACCTTCACTTCACCATCTTCAGAGATTTCTAGGATACATTTCGAGAATGGAAAAAATCAGCAAACAAACAAGATAAGATATATTCTTGCCACAATTGCGGACTGAATTCATAACGGACCGAGCCCGCTGATCGAATAACAGAGCACTTACTTTTTATTCTCGTGTTCAGGAACCCAGAGGTACCATGGCGGGTTCATACCGTCATCACCTAGTTCTCTTGCGTAGTAGTTGTGGGCACCGTGCCAAGCACACTTACCTCTTCTACCATACCACACCGGTCTCTGGTGAGGTGGAGTATCGTTAGTTGGTGGGTATTAGAGGTCAAATTATAACTTATGTCTACATTTTTTAGAATATTCTAAAATCGATTTCTTGTAGTTTTATCCCCTTGCTTAGCAAGATTCATTTTGGGTTTCCAAAGCCTGGTGCCATTATAAATAACAAAACATCATTTAATCAAGCTATTAATGAATGCCAACAAACCTTGGGTTCCTCCACAAGGGGGTGGATGTTGTGTACTGTAACTCTGGGAGCTTTAGCTACAAGTGCTATATTCTTCTCTACGTAGTTGTATAATCTTCCTTTACTCATACCTTTGCGAACAGATGCTATTATTAAGAAGGGTCAATGTACAGTTATTTTGCATAGCGTTGTGTGAGGGCCGAGGGGAGACCTGAAGAAGTGATCCTTATTATATATATATACTGACCTTTAACAATGTACTTATTATAATCTTCATAAACATTTCCTCAAGGAATGACAATAAAGCTACAATCTAAAAGAGATTCAAATGTAACACAATAAATAGTATACTCATACAGTATGTCATCAAATGATCAACCAAATATCTTAAAAGCAAAAGTTAATAAATTACACATTATATCATAAATTCATAATAATTAATACGGTTTTAAAATTAAAATTTTCAGTTAAAAAGCACATAATATCATAAATTCATAAATTAAAGATCAAACGTATTTTTGGAATAGTTATTATTTTTGGAATAGTGACGGTTTTGATTAATTCACACTGTTGATCATTAGTTCCATTTAATGAAACGCAGTCCTTGCTGACTGCTGAGTCAAATAGAAACAGCTTGTAATCTTTCTTGGAACAATCAATCTGGGTTTAATTCTAACATGATACATCAAAAGAAATCAAGAGGTTTAGATTACGGTAGAGAATAAGAGCTAAACCTCAAGTCATCGATCTCTTCTCTTTATTACCAGTGCATGCCCATGAACATAATATTTCCTATCGCAACTTGCTCTTAAAAGAGCTGAAGCCGATTCAGCATTTTTGTAAGTGAGAAAACCGTACGCATAGGGGGTACTTTGGAGAATTTGAAACCTTACCATTCCTCCAAAACCACTAAAAAGTTGTTTTAATTCTCTCTCTTGAGCGGCCGGTGGAATATTACCAATGTAAAGGATTCGATCAGAATTATCATTTCTAGCAGAAGATTTAGGCTTGGATTCAGTCCAGGTTCCGTGAGGATTACATCTACTTTCAGTGATTAACTCGGACAGTTCAAGTTCCCTCCCATCTAGAGTAAAACGTCTGTAGGATTCAAGAAGATTTTTAGCACAGGTTGAGTCCTCAAACGTCAAAATAACGTAAACTGCATCAATAATATTGACATCTTGTAAACCATCAATGCAATCGAATAATTCTCTAAGACTATCTGTGGAAACAGAAGGAGGTATATTCGTGACTTTCACTTGTTTTGACTTGGATCCATACTGTGAGGATTGTAATTCAAATCCATCATAGATAAAGACACGATCTGAATTTAGGAGTCTTTTTGCATAGCCAACACGCTCAAAAGTTAGAACCGCAAGATTTTCAGCATGGATGATTGTAACATTTGATATTTTCCCAAAATTATAAAATGTTCTTCTGAGACCTCGGTTTGAGACAGTCGGAGGAAGATTTGAAATTTGAATACGATTAGAAGATAATTTTTCACGTTTTGGACGATGTTGGAGACGGTCATTGTGAGAGGGAATAGGATCATCGCATGAGGCTGAACTGTCTTGGTCGGACCACCATGCTGCTTGCTCACTACTGTGGGACGGTTGTAAATGAACGAAATTACTGGAAACTGTTTCTTCCACAGAGCTATCAGCAAGAGGTAGTTCCTGCGTTGGATTATGGAGATTGTTTGGATTGATCTCTGATAATGAAAGAAGAGGGGCAGGTGACACAGCAATGTCTGGGTAGTGTATGTTATCTAAAACAGATGTGTCTTCAATAGAATCTCTTCTGGACATTACACCTTTGTTCAATATTTCCTCTTTAGCTTTCCGTAACACTGACAATTTAGTTGAACGAGTACATGATACTTCTTTTTTAAAGTAATCTTTTTGTATTTCCAGCAGAATCCTCAAATAGTGACGTGGTAATGACGTGTCATCTGACATCAGAGAAATGAAATTCGAAAAATCGTCCTCATCGGGGAAAAGTGCTCGAAAGTCAAACAGTGAGGGATTATTGTAAACAAAGTTCCTGTTATCGACAGAAAGAGCTACCCATTTCTTCATGATATTCCCGCCACCATTTCCAGTACAATTCTCTATCATCTTAACAATATCAAATCCATAAATGTCAGCATCTATAAAATCTATCATCTTAATCCAGAACAATTCTGAACTATGAGCCAAGACAAGTTTATAAGCGAGATCTTTCAGAGCAGCATTTTCTTCTGGAGACAAACAGTTTGAGAGTTTAAATAACTGTATGATGTGTTTAAGAATACCACCTGGAGTGTCTAGTAAAAAGAGTACATCTGCATTTCTCAACCATTTCATAATCAAGGAGACCAAGTCAGTCACCTGGTACCAACTAGCAAATTTCAGGATAACCTCCAAATTCTCGTAACTCAAGTTCAATGGAGCACCGTGCAGGTACCGTATACATTGGAGCAGAATCTCAGTATTATCTGGTTCTTCCATCATTGGTATCATTTCTTCAAACATCAATGTTCCTTTGTCTTCTCGTATTTTTGATTCCAGAACATGGCTCTGCTCCGCGAGGGCTATTCCTGAACATACGATTCGCTTTTCACCAATACAAACGGTGACTTTGAAAGGAAAAGTTTCGTCCCCGAGGAATCTTGTTATATTTCTGTCAAGTTGTAATGTTTGTGTCATGAGCCCATCTAAAATGCTATCTGGGGAAGTTAGGTTAGATTTTAGGGTGTAACTCTTAAATGTAGAGAGTTGAAAAATGAATTAACTGAACTCGAAGTTAAAGAACACCAGATAACAATATGTTGATTCATTCCAAAACGAAAAGCAATGACCACAAATAGTAAGTTAAATAGAAATGTATTGTAATTTGTAACACAATTTATAAAAATTTTTTAAATGTACCACTAAGTTTATGTTAATAAAATCTTATACATGCATTTATCATTTACGATTATCTCATACAAGTATTTTTCAAAATGATTCTCTAATCGAGTTATAAATCAACCTAGTGTGGAAAATTCGCAAAGCACAGTCATTGTATATTGATCAATCTCCAATTCATAAAAAAATCAAAATTCATTATCTAGTATGGTTTTAAATACAATATATACCAAATTATTAGCCCCTATGTAATTAAAAACATTATTAAAAAATTTAACAATTTCACAAACCAACGCAAAAGTAACTTGGACAAACAAGCTGCAAACAATTTTATTGTGACCGTCGCTCAGCTATTTTCAATTGAACGCCACCAATTTCAAACCCTTCTTGATCTTTTCGTCTTAACAATGCTCGAGCTGATCCAACTGAGTCAAAACAAACAAAAGCATGGTCGAATGGATGCCGTGTGGCTCTTATAGTTATCTCATTTATCTTTCCAAATCTCCCAAAAAGTCTCTTTAGATCAACCTCATCGGCAGATTTTGGAACATTACCAACCCATACAGAAGAATACTGATACTCATCACTGCTAGATTCAGAATCTTGAGAATTCCCACAAATAGGGAAGTCCCACAAAAAGTCATTTATAGTGGTACTATATTTGGACTCATGTTGAGGTGCAACTACTTGAGAGTGGGAACCAGCAAAAGCAATATTACCCCTTGAGTTGGGGTTCAGTCTTGAGTTGGGGTTCAGTCTTGAAGGTAAAATTGGACCTGAATCACTGCTGGCTGCTGGTTTATTATTGTCAGTAGATGATGTAACAAACCATTTGTCATGAGCTTTTTTCAAGAGAAAGTCTTTTTGTATTTCTAGCAGCAACTTAATAGAATCAGTACACATCAATTCTTTGTCCTCAGAAAGGACAGCCACAAACTTAGAAAAGTCGTGCTCAGTTTGATAAATCTCTTCAAAGTCAAATAAAGCTGCATTTTCGATTACAAACTTTCTATTTTCACGAGAGAAAGAGAGCCAGCCTTCTAAGAAAGATGATGATTTAAACGGTTCCTTTAAAGTAATTGCAGCAACATCATACCCACTTAAACCCAAGAAGAGGTTAAACGTTGTTCTCGTATTGTCGTAATAGAAATATCCGTGGCCTTCATAGGTGTTAATGATTGAAAAAATAATCTCTTTCAATTTAATGGACTCCTCCTCTTGCAGATGATTTGAAATCACGATTAAATTAAGTGCTTCATCCGAATTTACAAGACCAAAAGATAGATTGTCTTCAGAAAAGTGATCATATAATAACCAGCGCAAAGCTTTGTCAAACAAACATCCAACTTTGTACCAACTAGCAAACTTCAAAATTACTTCAATGTTTTCACGAGTGAAAGTAAGCTCTGCTCCATGTAGAAAATTAATACATTCATGTAAAGCTCCGTTCCTATTTTCCACATCCAACAGTTCTTCAAACATCAGCACACCATCATCTTCTCTAAACTTCTTTTCAAGAACAGAACTCTGTTGAGCAAGCAATGCTCCTGAGCACAATACACGTTCATCCCCAATACATACTGTTACTTTGTAGGGAAATGTGGGGTCGTTGATGAATCTAGTGAAATCTCTGTCCAGGGCTAATTTCATAACTGTAAAATAGGGAATTTAATTATCTGCCATGATAGCACAGGTTACTAAATAACTTAATATTCATGTACATATTGCTTACTTTAGAATTTAGGAATATTCAATTTAACCTTATTGTACTTGTGCAAATGTCGATAATATGTAAATCTTAACATAGAATAATATTGGATCTAGGATAGGCACAGCTGATTTTTTTTGAAGTTATATCATGCTAAGAGACAATTTAATGAACGAAATGTCAATAAAAAGCATTTAAAATCACAAATAACAGGTCATATTATACTCGGTGTATTCCACCCAAACTCCTTCTTCATTACTACAGAATAGCAGCAACCCGTCTAAACCGAAAGTGGTGTCAAAAGACAACAATATTTCCTTATTTTGCAATGGAAAATGTCATAACCAGGAAAATATACAGTACGACTTACAATTTATGATAGCGACTGTTAGTTAATTCACCTTATTATAAATAAACTAATGTAACAGATCATAATATATTCAAATATTATTATTATATACATATTCAAATACAAAGTTTAAAGGAATTTCAGTCATAATTTCCATGACTCCTCATCAAAAATCCCTAAAAGAATCACCTTCGAATAAAGCTTACTATACTTAACAACTTCAACAAATATTTAAATATTCACAAAAATATGATACAAGATACAAATTCAAATTCAACAAGTTTAGTTGAATTAATGAAGGAGTTCATGTTGGAACTTTTTATAATCTTCAGAAACATTTCCTCAAGGAATGACAATAAAACAAACATTCTAAAAGAGATTTAAATGTAACACAATTTAAAATAGTATACAAATACAGTATCTCATCAAATGATCAACCAAATATCTTAACAGCAAAAGTAAATAAATTTCACATTATATCATAAATTCGTATTAATGTTCAGTAAAAACACATAATATTAATATTATTATTATTATATGTAGCATAAATTCATAAATTAAAGATCAAACGTATTTTAGGAAAAGTTATTATTTTTGGAATAGTTACGGTTTTAAAATTAAAATTTTCGGTAAAAATAGTTTAAATTTATTCACGAAGTTTATCATTAGTTCTATTTAATGAAATGTAGTCCTTGCTGACTGCTGAGTCAAATAGAAACAGCTTGTAATCTTTATTGGAACAATCAATCTTGGTTTAATTCTAGCATGATACATCAAAAGAAATCAAGAGGTTTAGATTAAGGTAGAGAATATATATAAAGAGCTAAACTTCAATTTACAAATTTACAAGTCATCGATCTTTCCTCTTTATTACCAGTGCATGCCCATGAACATAATAATTCGTGTTGCGACTTGCTCTTAAAAGGGCTGAAGCCGATTCAGCATTTTTGTAAGTGAGAAAACCGTACGCATTATATGCATAGGGGGTACTTTGGAGAATTTGAAAACTTGCGATTTCTCCAAAACCACTAAAACGTTGTTTTAATTCTCTCTCTTGAGCGGCCGGTGGAATATTTCCAATGTAAAGGATTCGATCAGAATTATCATTTCTAGCAGAAGATTTAGGCTCGGATTCAGTCCAAGAACTTTGCGGAACGGATATATTTTCAGTGATTAACCCGGACAGTTCAAGTTCCCTCCCATCTAGAGTAAAACGTCTGAGGGATTCAAGAAGATTTTCAGCACAGGGTAAGTCCTCGAAAGTCAAAATAGCGTAATCGTCATCAGTAGCAACAATAGCATGGATGATTGTAACATTTGATATTTTCCCAAAAGTTTCAAATGTTCTTCTAAGCCCTTGTTTTGAGACAGTCGGAGGAAGATTTGAAATTTTTATATGACTAGAAGATAATTTATCACGTTTTTGACGATTTTGGAGACGGTCATTGACATTGTGAGACAGAATAGGATCATCAGAAGAGGTTGAGCTATCTTGGTCGGACCACCACGGATAAGGGCAAAGGTAAGGTGCTTGCTTACTACTAGAGGACGGTTGGGAATGAATCAAATCAATGGAAAAGTTTTCTTCCACAGAACTATCAGGTAGTTGTTGCGTCGAATTATGAAAATTTTTACTGTTTGAAACGGTCTCTGATAATGATGGAAGAGGTGCAGGTGAGTTATGTGCGATGTCTGGGTCGTGTTCGTTATACGGAACATGACGTGTGTCTTCAATACAACCACTTCTGGATATTTCCCCTTTCGGTAACAGAGACGATCTAGTCGAACTAGTGCATACTTCTTTTTTAAAGTAATCCTTTTGTATTTCCAGCAGGATTCTAAAATAGTGACGAGGTAATGACGTGTCATCTGATATCATAAAAATGAAATTCGAAAAATCATCTTCATCGGGGAAAAGTGCTCGAAAGTCAAACAATGAGGGATTATTGTAAACAAAGTTCCTGTTATCAACAGAATGAGCTACCCATTTCTTCATGATATTCCCGCCACCATTTCCAGCACAATAAGACGCAACAAAAACAGAAAATTCGTCAGCACTTGGAAAAATATCTTTGAAGCTCAGTAAAGAATGGTTGTCCAAAATGAATTTTTGATTTTCAATTGCAATTGAACACCATTTTTTCAAAATACTCCCAGAGCATGAGGGGTTCTGTTCCATAATCAATGCCATGTCAAATCCTGTTACTCCTAATTCCAGGAATTCTCCAATCTCACTGCCCACAGCTTGTTTGTTAAGTCCAATGAAAGTCGAGATCATTGATTTCAAGCGTGCTGAATCACTTTGGTCGAGAAAATTTGAAAGTTTCAAAAACTCAACAACATCTTTGGCAGATTTAGATCTATTTAGGCTCACTTTGAGCCATTCCAAGCCGTTGTTAAAGAGAACAGTAACTTTGTAATAACTTGCAAATTTCAAAACCACAGCAATATTCTCTGATGTAAATGACAAATCTTTACCATGCAAGTACCTAATGCATTCATGTAAGGCTCTCTTACCATTTTCCACATCCACCATTTCTTCAAACATCAGCACACCATCATCTTCTCTAAACTTCTTTTCAAGAACAGAACTCTGTTGAGCAAGCAATGCTCCTGAGCACAATACACGTTCATCCCCAATACATACTGTTACTTTGTAGGGAAATGTGGGGTCGTTGATGAATCTAGTGAAATCTCTGTCCAGGGTTAATTTCATAACTGTGAAATATAGGGAATTTAATTATCTGTCATGATAGCACAGGATACTAAATAACTTGATATTCATGAACATAGTGCTTACTTTAGAATTTAGAAATATTCACCCTATTCAATTTTACTTTTGCAATGTGGATGATATGTAAATCTTAACATAGAATAATATTTGATCTAGGATAGGCAGAGCTGATGTTTGAAGTTATATCATACTAAGAGACAATTTAATGAACGAAATGTCAATAAAAAGCAATTAAAATCACAAATAACAGGTCATATTATACTCGGTGTATTCCACCGGGGGGGATCGGGTACCAAGTGTCGGACATCACGTCGACTAAGTGTAGTTTTGGATATTTTTCACTAGACACACCCACCCCCTTTGCGGTACTAACTGTTTTTTTTGGATAATACGTAAGACACCCACCCCTTTTGCTGCCTTTTGCGGTACTAACTGTCGAAAAATCGTGGTACTAACTGATTTTTGGTATATAGAATAAGATACCAACCCAGAAATTGCTTTTTTTTTAAAGAGCTCATTTAAACTTTAAAGGAAGACTTTTAAAAATTTTAAAAATTATTAAAAAAACCCAAAAAAAACTTTAAAAAACCTCAAAACCCATTCCCAAAATTGAAATTTGAGGTAAAATGGGTTTTTTTTGGGGTTAGACACCCCCTTTAGTACCATGTATTAACTGTTTTTCTGGAAAATGGGCAGTAGACCCACCAGTTATATTAGTACCATGTACTAACTGTGTTTTTAGAAGAAAAAATGACCCACCCACCAACGTCACGTCCGGTACTAAGTGTATGATCCCCCCCCCCCCCCCCCCCCCCCCCGCATTACTACAGAATAGCAGCAACCCGTCTAAACCTAAAGTGGTTTCAAAAGACAACAATATTTCCTTATTTTGCAATGGAAAATTTCATAACCAGGAAAATATACAGTACGACTTACAATTTATGATAGCGACTGTTAGTTAATTCACCTTATTATAAATAAACTAATGTAACAGATTATATATATTCAAATATTATATACATATTCAAATACAAAGTTTAAAGGAATTTCAGTCATAATTTCCATCACTCCTCATCAAAAACCCCTAAAAGAATCACCTTCTAATAAAGCTTACTATACTTAACAACTTCAACAAATATAATGTGATTTAAATATTCACAATAATATGATACAAGATACAAATTCAGATTCAACAAGTTGAATTAATGAAGGAGTTCATGTTGGCACTCCAGGACCACGTCCGTACTTTTTGTTCCTGTCACTTTCTTCCTGGCAAGCTCTGATGATCTCAAATATCGCGTTAACATCAATGTTTTGTCTGATCAGATCGAGAACTATTTCCAGTATCTTGGGCGAAATCTTTAGACCTGGTGTTATTAGAAACATAACAGAATGAATCATACTGATACAGTAAAACCCCGATATACCTCAAATTTACAAATATTCATACTTAAAACTACTACACTTAATTACTACGCTAAGATTACAATTCGTTGGCGGGTTAATTAGTTACCTGCTTGAGCAGCTAAAGCAATGAACTCTCTATTGTCGTAGTCATCTTGATAAACCGTTTTTGGTGTGTACGGAACATCCATTGCTAATACAAGATAAGGGTTTGTTGATTGTGATTCTAAAATACTATTATGTATTTTATATAATATAGGCAACTTGAATAATCACAACACTACAAATCATTTACAAATTTTGTTGAGGATGATAAAGAAGGACCATGATAAATTTAGTTCGATGAGTTCCAAGGTATGTAGATTAAGGTTTGGTTTGAGTAAGGGTTAGAGTAAGGATTTGGGATATGGTTGAGATTCAGTTTTAAAGACCTGATGTATACCCTTAGTAGTCAGACTTCTTGGATACTGTCCTTTAATACCATCAATTTCGTATAATTTTAAAGTACTAGTAGGCATAGTCATAAGTTCTCTGATTGTCCAGAATGATTGTAGATTCTAGAATGTAGTTTTTTGTAATCTTTGGCAGCGAATTCGACTTAAAGAAAATTACAACAAAGTTACATATAAGTTACCAAACAGATTTAACTAAAAATATGACCCACCTTTAAAATGTAGGTTTTAATAAAACACTTGTGCCAATGCACAAGATTTTTGATGAAAAACTATTATTAAGTTGAGTGAAAGTAACTTAGATACAAGGATTTATAACTACTAGATTCAAATAACAAAGCCCACAATAGAGTTCCAATATCTACCCAATAAATGTGGTGAATGATATCAGCAATAAAAGGGTCTTCTGAAGAACTCAATTTGAGGATGAATCCAAGAGTTGGATGATTGAATCATGTTGTACCATCTTACAAGGCTGGAAAATTCCCACTGAATTTCTGGAGTTATTAGCAGCTTCCTGAGGATTATTATATATATATGTCTCATGATCTATATATTTTGTATAGTACTGACACTAAACAGAAGTTCTGGGTCATATTTAAAAACTGATTTTGCTGATTTTGATTAAAAAAGCTTTTCCTACCCGAGGTATTTATATATTCCCAAAGCAATGGCAATATCCGCTATAGTTATAGAATTTCCAACCATGAATGTCTTTGTGGCTAGAAAACTGTTGATTTCATCTGCATATCTGTACATTGGCATCTTCTTTTCTTGCATTTGGTAGCTATATTGTACCCACTGCATAATCTGAAGTTGCAGAGATAGTTTGGATGACTTTCTAAATGTCAAATTGTGAATTGAACTGCATTTTTGATGTTCATATTATAAAAGCTATCACTACACCAAAATTGATCAAACAATAACTTATTAAATATCGATGGAGTTACATAAAAATAAACTTACTTTAGCCTTCTCCTCTGTATTCAAACCACAGAGACTGTCCCCGGTACCATTTATAATATGCTTGTAAACACTTGAAGCATCTTGGTTTGAGATGAGTTTGCAGCAGCTCCCCATGTCCATCATTTTAGTTTTGATGATGCTGTAATTTAATGGAAAGTTATAATGATTGTCAATTACTCTCAAACTTTGAAATTACTAAAAATTTAAAACCGTATTGAAATTTTGCTTCATTGATTTCCTAGATACTATGCCATCACATAGGTAGTCGATGAGACGACATTTTATCAGAGCAATCAGTCATTGTTTAATCGTTAATAGATTATGAGTATTGCTGAAAGCACAGTGTAAGGCCTACACGGACCGCCTCTAACTAGCCAATCCCTGTTTACATGCCGTGTAGCAGGGGACTAGAAAGAGCTAAACTAGTAAGCGGGGCATAGCCAATACACTATACTTCCATCATTGAGTATTATATTATATGTCAGACGTTGGGCCATTTTGATTACAATGAAACAAATGTTGATAAATTTTAAAACTAACAATTGGCTTATTGGTAATCTGAAATTTGATCACATATTTAAAACAAGGGGAACCCCAAATATATCCTTGAGACAAAACACAAGAACATTGTAAACTGAATTCACAAGCAGCATTCTGGTATTCATCCGTACTATTAAACTCTCTTTCTGATCATATGTGATTATTTTAGTACTCGAATAATACTTACTGAACAATTTCACTAATTTTACCAAAAATTGAAGAAGTTTATGAATGCATAAGTTTGCCTGACAATCTGCTTTGATAAGTGGACTGATGAAAGCTTCTTCAAAAATTTTTTCAAAGTTTACCAATTGGCATGTTAAAGCCCATTCTACATCTAAACTAAGTGAACCTAAGTCTGTTTGTAAAGTATACTTTTCGACTTTTTCATACACCTGTTTGATGTGTGCCATCCTGGCTATATTATAATGGATGAAAACAGCATCTCTTAGATGTTGCGGAGATGGATTCAATGGATTAAATGGTGTTGGTGAAGAGAATATATCAAAAGCCACAATGAATGGCAGCATTTTTTCACTAACATGCTCAATAGAATGATATTCGCCAGTACAACTTAAAAGCCTTTCTTCAGCTTGTTTCAATAGCTCTTCTTTTCTACTTGATAAGTATATTTCAAGTACATCAACATCATCACCATCAACATCTTTAAATGTGAAGTTACCGTATATGACCCCATAGGTATTAACAACAGCACATTTTTTCATTCTAGCACTTGTACTCACATACAGTGGATTATCAAATTGACCAAAATCTTTCTCAGCATCGTTGCAATGAAGGTATTTAACTGATGATAGTGATACTGGAAAGTGTGCCTTACTCAGAATGTCATCTATTTTCAGATTTGAAGAACAAGTTGCAACAACTTCAAGTTCCCTATTGAGAAGTTGCCTGATAGTTGACAGAAGAATCACTGTGGCAAGATTAAGGAAGTCATCTTTAGCAGTACAGCTTGACAGGGTTACCAAGGCTATAGTCCTTTTATTATCAATGGCACTGATTCTCTCATTATCAACAAGGACAGACTGGAACTTTTCAAGTAAAATATCAAACTGCTTTTCACAATCATCAAAGAATAGTTTGTTCATTATAGTTGATCTATCGAGGGAAACTTTGGTCATTATTCTTGAACCCCTATCAACAAAGGATAGTTCTGTAATCAATTCAGATGAAGCTTTAACTTCAAAGTCAACAAAAATATCACAGTTATCCTTCAACGCAAGATAGAAAACTCTGTTTTTTTGCACCCGATTCACATCAGCAGGGGTTAGAAGCTCTCGAATCTTTGAGTAAATGAGGGTATGTTCCATAATCGACGACATTTCTGTTACCAGTCGCCGTTTCTTTCCTTTTGGTCGTCAAAACTGTCTTTGAAAATTACATCAGGACTACTGAAGCTACTGCTGAATAGAAATCTTTTGATTGTAACTAATCTAAGCGGTCGGTTTAAGCAACAAAATCAATAGAAATCTACCAGGTTAATAACATGGACCAAACTTGCAAAAACAAACTTTCTGGCATCAACTAAAGAATTTCGGGGCTCATGGAAATCAGTTAAACAAAAATCAGCTTCTTGCTTAGCACCAATTACAACTTCATTAGTGAAGAGATGCTTCAGCACAACGAGGAGGTGAACCTTTTGCTGGAAGTACGAGCTCAAGATCAAAGATAAGATGATAATCTATCATAGTATAGTATATTAAGCATGAGTTAAGCTATATTTGATAGAATTGATGTTACTGTAGCTCATAGGAGTAATTATGTAAATTATATGAAAGATAATCCAATAATAGCTAAGAGAAAGAAGGTCAATTTAAAAGGCCTTATTTAGGCACTTATCAGCCAAGAAGTTTTCAGTTAACTTCTTTTAATTTTTATATTTTAATAGTTTATTAAACGTAAATTGTACAGTTTTGAAGTAATTATATTTGTATATGAGATGCCCAGAGAGGCATAATTTTAAATCTTATCTTATCTTAAGCATTAGAACTGCCTGATGATATTCCAATAACAATCAAGTTAATCAGATTGTGGACAAATTCACTTTGTGAACACTGCAATATAAGCGTAATAATAACCGTTATTTTTTTTTTTAACTTTTAAAAAAACGAAAGTTATACATTACATTCAATTTCAGCAATGGCCAATTGGCCGACTATAAGGTCATGGCCTGAACAAACAATTTTTTTAAATAGTCAAGTGATGCTAAAGCAGAGCACAAATGTGTAATAAGTTAATAGATTAAAAACTGATTCATGTGATGCATTACGCAGAGCACAGATAAAAATACTGATTCAATGATTAAAATTATAGCTGTGAGTGTCAATAAATTACTGTGTCATAAAAATAATAACCGTTGTCCGTTATTAGTCACGAGATTAATAGCTAAAGGAAATTGTAGGTAGCGCTCGATCTTTGTACAGATTTGTAGTATGCAGGATTACGATGTGCGCGCAAATTTAATCACCTAAAAATCTGGATATTATTAATCACTCTACACTCGCAACTCGACTGTCACGTAACTTTTTAACACGTCCTCTAGGTGGCTATGAATGACTATTCGAAACTAGTAACTGTCTAATCTGATCACAACCCTATAACCTACTAGGACGAGCGCCGAGTTGGACTCGTCGACGGTAATATTTGTATCACGTGGTGACCCCCACGGTCGCTTCACTATAGTAGAGTTTCGACGATACAGGGGGAGCCGCGCACTCGTGCGCGGCGGGTCATACAAAGTATGACAAGTGATATTACTATATATAAGGAAATTGGTCTAATTTCTCGTTAGTAGTGTAAGAGGATTTTTTCGAGCTCCGTTTACCCCTAAAATTGAGGCACATTTAGCTTTAGCACAGTTGACTAATCTGCCACATTTTAGCCAGAGGTTACAAGTTCGAATCCCAGTCGGAGTCGTTCTCCAATGTGTTTATATTATTATTTTACACATTTTAGCCTAGTTTAACCCATCAAGCAATTATCTAACCCTACATTATGCGATACAAAGTATCAACTAAATACATTCATCACACAGCAGAAGTCGTTAAATGAATAGTGTACACGTTCACGTACAATTACATCAGTTGTCTATCGACATTATTAACATCTGGTTCAAGGCGACCTCTGCAGTACAATGTACTGATAAAGGGATATAGTGACTTATGTGCTAGCTAAATTTAACTAGAGTGTACAGTTTAGGACAACACCTGGTTGATATGGTAACGTAATGAGAAAGCACTTTTCAGGACGGTTACTCAATAGTACCAAGATTGTACCGTCATTGTAAAGTAAAGTTACGGCAACAGCTGTGTTTGTACTTGACAGATATTTGCTTAATTTAAGAACCAAATAAAACTAAAGTGAATTGATAAAAATGTGACTTTCTTAAAAGAAATACGTGTCAACAAAATGTAGAAGCTGATAAATATATAGTGTACTCGATCACGTATTAGTATTACACTGACTGTTTGATATGAAATGTAATTTATAGAGAGTACTTACAGGACGGTTACTTTACAGCCTCAAGAACAATATGTCATTGTATAATAGCCATAGACCTAGTACAGAATAGTCACGGTAGCAGCTGTGCAATGTATTTGACTCAAATCTCTTGTCAGGACTGGTCTAGATATTTTATATTTTCTACAATTATATCAGAAGATCTCAAAAAATTGAACAGTGTGCGAGGAATTTTTAAATATAATAACCAATGAAAGATAGTGTTAATTCTTACCTCAATTAGTGGACCGTCCCTTTACATTAGAACTCAGTGTTTGTCTTTGTTAAATATCTTGATAAGGTATAATTACGAACAGGTGCGTGTTTTACTGGATAGTCTCTATCTTCTTTATATCTTGAGATCTCAGCTTTAGGTAAGTGACAACTGGATCAAAGTTGTTTTGTTTAATTTTATGCTCAAGGTTCGCACTATTCTGCCTTGTTATATTTGAGTTGTTGTATATCAGCATAGTATTTTAGTACAATATTGTAGAAATCATACCCGTAAATATTTGCTCGGTATCTGGCAGCAGTTCATCGATTAATGTTCCGTGTTCTGTTTCCTGGTATTTTGTGAGCGGAATATTTTCTTGAGTAGATAAAATGAAATCCGTCACCTTATCTTACACAATACTGAATACTGAATGAATACTGAATACTGAATGAATACTGAATGAATACTGAATACTGAATGAATACTGAATGAATACTGAATGAATACTGAATGAATACTGAATGAATACTGAATGAATACTGAATGAATACTGAATGAATACTGAATGAATACTGAATGAATACTGAATGAATACTGAATGAATACTGAATACTGAATGAATACTGAATGAATACTGAATGAATACTGAATGAATACTGAATGAATACTGAATGAATACTGAATGAATACTGAATGAATACTGAATGAATACTGAATGAATACTGAATGAATACTGAATGAATACTGAATGAATACTGAATGAATACTGAATGAATACTGAATGAATACTGAATGAATACTGAATGAATACTGAATGAATACTGAATACTGAATGAATACTGAATGAATACTGAATAATACTGAATAATAT